CTTCTCGGGCTCTTCCTCGATCCTTCGAGGTGAGGCAGGATCCCACACGAAGCTGGTGAGGCTTGGATCCTTGCTTGGCCTTGCAACAGACAGTAGCTACTGCTACAGACAGCTACAAACACCTGACGCTACCATCCCTCCTCTTCACCCACCCCCTCCCACCCCTCCCGCCCCGTTGCAGACCATCCATCTCGACCCGGCCACCGCTTGGACGAACAGATTTGTATTTCTAGACCTGCTGCTTACACAATTTTTTGTCCATGCAGTGGAGTCCGTGGAGCTTAGTGAGACTGTTTTGTGTAAATGACGTGGGTTTTTCTTGTCTGTGCCGTGCTTTGGATCGCCTCTCAGGCTCGTCGGGGCGCGAGGTGACCACCACCGTGGGCTTGGTATGCATGCGAAGCTCCAAAACCTGGCGAATCTGGCGAACGGATTCCACTACGAAATCGGATGGTCGAGGATGGATGTTAACATGTTTGAACATGGCTTTGAAAGTTAAACTGATTTCCCTAAATTGTGATCCATGGCCCTAACTTCTCGCCAGGTCACACTCTTGGGCGTGGCCTTTTTCTTCGCGTTGGTCTTGGCCTTGAAGTCGTGGAACATGGTTCGGGCTCAAGAGACGGGGAAGATGGGGAAGTACCCATGTTACATCATGTTGCAAAACAGGGATTGAACCGCAGCAGGTGGTGCCATGTTGTACTCATCCATGAGTGAATGGTCAAGTGACCACATCCGCGCCGAAACCCAAGGCTCTGACGTTAGGATTGAGAAAGCCAGATGCCTCAGCGGCATTCAGGTCTCAGCGGTGTCTTGGATTTTTGACGGCTGCTTGGTGCATCTAACAAGCTCAATCACCAAAAGCATCCCAAAGCTATCTGCACCTTGACTGAAGATTAGTTTCGGTGACTGGTTCATCTGGCTGAACTCCCTTTCAGGGAGGTAGTTGGCCCACCCCAGTGTTGTGGTACCATCACTCTGGTCACGGCACATTGCTGCAACAACTCCCAGCCAAGGATCATCCACGTCCTCTTCTTCCGGCTTTGCTGGCGGTGTTGCAACGACATCGGCCTGCTTCTGGTCCTCAGTCAGTCGAACTGCGTTGCCTTGAAAAGTGATCACGGCGATTCATCTTGCACAGCCCAAAGCTGTGCAAAGAAGCAGCCTGGGTGGCACACTTCTAAAAAAAACTTTTGCTCCTGAAAAGATCGTCTACAAACCAATTTCCCAATCTCGTCAATCCCGAGAAACCAAACCTGAGATTCACTCATCTTTTGCAGACACCAGGCTTGACCAATGATTGGTTTCTTTCCATGCAATCAGTTGGGATAGCAAAACCCGAAACCTCCCAAGCATGGTGCAACGGTGGGACCCCGACAGCAAAAGAGGGAATCCGACCAGGCCTCCTTTCTCGTCCCCGTCGTCCACCGACTCCCGCGCACCGCTCCGGACCGGCTGGGCGGGCCCCACAATCCGCCGCCGGAGCTCGGCCATCTCCTCGGCCTGGCTCAGGCGCCAGGTGGGCTGGTTGGTCTTTGCATGTTGGAGAAGTGGTCGAAGACATGTCCACAATGTGCTTAAGTTATCTTAAATTGAAAAATGTGGAACATGGCGTGCGTGAACGCTGAAGGATTAGAAAAACATCACCGTAACATAAGCCATTGGAGGTGGGTTTGTCAGGTATATTTGGTTGGATGCGAGTTCACTGCACCCAGTATAAAATATATGTAAGTGCAAGTGAAGAATTTGACTGTAACATATCTTAATGCAACACCTTCTGGGGTTCTAAGTACTTGTTTGGAAGCTCGTCACTTAGGGGCATCTGGCTCTGGACAGTGCCATTTTCAGTGCCTGCCAGAAATAATGTATATATATATAAATATACTTATAATCGGAAATGATTGCACGGTTCTGGGCATGGCGCGGGTCATGGCTTCTTTAATGTCTACCTTCTCCACAAAAACGCACACCTTGAATTCACTGTGTTTCACAGGTCAAGTTAGGCGCAACTGAGCCTAACTGAGCTCGCCTGGTCACTGAAAACTGCTTCGAAGGATTGCAAAGTATGGGCCGGAACCCCTACACAACCCATTCCTAGCGGAAGATTGTGCACCTGAGAGGCCGAAACACACCCTCAAAAACACGCAATCAAGCATGTCAAGTGATGTCCAAATCAACAGGGCACCCCACACAAACACCCGCCCAGGCGTGCCTGCTTCTTCTGCGCTTGGACCTCGCGCGCATTTCTAGGCACCTCCCCAGTGAGGCCGGGCGGCGCTTCCCCGCCTGGGAGCAACGCCCGTCGGGTGGCACATGGACGAACCGTGTTCCTTGACACGTGCCAAGTCAGTGCCTCGTCGTGCGAACTACTTCGGAAGAAAGACATGCAGAAAGACAGAACATGAGTTGGGAGTGCTTTTGGTTCCTGGCGGGGTTCCAGATTCCAAATAGATCATCTTTAAACCATCTTTGAAATTGCCATGGATGGGTTGGGGTACCCCATTGTGTAGCTGTACCAGGGTGCACCTCTACAAAAAGGCAATGAGTAGTCCTCTACAAAATGACATGCCCAAATACCCCCCTTACAAAATGCTCCATGCCAATAACCTTCATTTTCCGCTGGTCTTCCTCATATTTCTCTACAACAATTGGTGGTGTACTGTACAACAAAAAGATTGCCAAACTTTTTCTGGGGGTGGCCTTCTGCACATGTTCTATCATATGTGCACATGTTTTTTTGAATACAATTGATTCGCACTTCTTGGTACTTTGTTTGTGCCTCTCCATGGTTCGTGGACTGTTTGATCTTCTTGCATCATCCAAGATCTTCATAGATCATCAAGTTTTTTGGAACTCAATTCTTGCTACACGATTTTGCGTCTGTTTGTTTCTCAACCGTTGTGCAATCATTGGGGCCAAGTCCTTTTAACAAATGATATAAAAAATGACAATTCATGATCATTCTTGTATGTTCTTGTGATATCAAATCAACTAAATTCACGGAGCGCTTTCTTAGGTAGCAAAATGCGTCCTGAAGCCTTCAAGAAAGAATTGTTTCAAAACTACGTAGATGTGGTCTACAAAAATGGTGTGGTGCCTGATTGTGTGTACAAATTGGCGTGCTGCATGAATGTGTCTACAAAAAGGTACTGGCTATGCACGTCCATTAAAGTCCATCCCAATTCCCTGAATCCATCTGTCTGCTTTTTCTCAGCAAGCTTAGCCAAATATTGACCCCCCACTCTGGCTCTACAAACAAACATGTCCAGCACGCTCTGATCCAAACCATGTCAGACATGTTTTTCTCTACAAATATGGGTTACCCAATGGTGGTTAAACAACAAATATGTTTGCCTTACGCCTTACAAAAAGGCGATGGATGCACCGGACATGCCTCTCTACAAAAAGGCCATGTTGTCAGGGCCTCAGGCTACCCCTTTCAGTAAGGGAAATTTCAACAGGGATCCAAATAGTGGAACTTCCAACAACAGTCTCAGTGTATATCTATATATGAATATAGTGAAGACAGGTGAAAATCTAGAAGCGCTGCAATTCAAGGTGCATGTTCTCATGTTGGTTCTCCAATAAGTAGCGCTTCAACGCAAAACGAAACAACACATGACCGACTCTAGACCACCGAACTGCGCCTGAGCAGAAACTCCCACGAACTGCCGCGGCGGCCCTGGGGGCTCCGGACGAGACAAGGGCCCAAGGCCCAGCTTCGCGGCCCAGTCGAGCTTGTCCTCGGTCGACGGTCGAGCTGGCTTGCCACCGTGTGGCGTGTCTCAACGACCTGGCGACCCTGCAAAGCAAGGAACGCCATTCCCTAGAGAGCACCACTTCGCACAACCCGCAAAAATGCCCCTTTGACCTCAGTTTGATCCCTTTTGTGTTTTTGACTGGGGGGGGCTCAATCTCTGAGACAAGTCATGACAAGTCCACGGGGTTGGTGGTCTTTGTAAATGGGCCTCTCTCGAATTCTGTTGCCTTGTTTTCAGCGATGATGCCAAATGCGATAATTGGCCCACCCACTAGTCGAAAGCTCTGCCCCTGTCCCCCACCCATTCTGATTGCAAACGAGCCACTCTCCTGCTCCGGTTCAATCGATCCACCATGGTCAGAGTTGAGAACTACCCACCTTGGAAACCTAATTCACTTAGCTCCGGCTGAGGACTTTCTGCAACTGCCTCTTATCATTTCGGGTCCAAGTATGCGGTAGGAGTAAAAACGACTTGTGATCCGATTGCACCTTTTGTCCTTGTGTTCTCGGTGTACCTCGGTCTTCCTGAAACAGCTTGAGCTCTGGGTGGTCGGAGTGGTTGGCGTCTTGGTGGGCATTGCCCGGCTTGTCAAGGGGCTGCTGGGTTGAATCAAGTAGAGTAGAGGGGTATGTGTCTAGTAGGGTGCGGGTTGATGCTGGACTTGAAGATGTCTGGCTGACTGGCTTGTAGTTATTCGCATGGCATGAAACTCTACCGTGCCCATTGCAAACTGCGGTGTCGCTGGTTGAGCCCAAAGTCGCGGCACAAACGCTCGAGGCTCATTGATACCAATTCTTGTCCCCAGGCGCCACCGACAAAACAGCAGAACATAAGAAGCTACAAGTAGCAAGGACGCTACTAGTAACAAGGCACCTTACTACTCACAAGAAGCTACTAAAACTTAGCAATGATTCAGCTGCCCCACTGTCTCACCCTGACAACAAATAGATACAAATATTAATAGAGTAGTAGTTGGATAGTTGGATACTGTGTGCTACATAGATATTTGTATCCGCTGTTGACCTCAAGTCTTGCTTCAACCCACGGGGCCATGGTGTCCCAAAAAGCTTGGGGGTCTCCCCAAGGTCACCTGGTGGAGAGGAAAGGGAAAAGGATGGAAAAAGGCAAACATGAAGTTACATGAAGCGGGACCCTTTCGTAGCTTCTTGTTCCTAGTAAGGCCAGGGTCGCCCCGTTCGTAGCGTCCGAGGGCATCTCCGGATCTCGGGAGCTCAACACCTCTCGGAGCTCCGCCCAGCGCATCATCTTTCTGCGGTCCTGGCGCCAAGTGCACCGGTGGATGCTTCGTGCCGGCTTCAGGGCCGGCCCACGGTCCTTCGAAAACATGGTGCTTCGCAGAAGAACGTGCATAGCCATGGCTTTGATCAAATGAACGTGCAGCATGCTGCATAAGTAGCATACTATGAAACTTGGGCCGTGGCCAAAGCATCCACGTTGTGACTGGGGTTCATACCTAGTTTTGCCCTTGCTTCTGCGCATGATTCCCGGGCGAACTTAGCTGCTTATCCAGGAACGAGCTCAAAATATATAAGTTTCCGTCTACCAAGTCAGTGCTACAAGTCTTGCAGTTTTACATGAAGAAACAAAAACAAAAGCGGTGGATACATGGGCCGGGATAAACACGCATTCCAACGGCTATTTCTTGCCTATTGCAACGCCCCCGCATCCCCCCAACATCTTCCATCCCCGAAAATCCAAGCTGCCCGAGCTGCCCGGCCTCCGGGGTCGCCTTCGGCCAAATCATCAGGAGAAAGTCCTTTGGCTTTCACTGAAACACGCGTTGGCCGAGGCAGATGGGGCACGGGGAAAAAGTGCAAAATACCAGGTGAATCAAGCGATCTCTGAAAGATTTTGGAGAGACCGGCTAAGTCTTCCATGCTGTTCCGGCCGGCAGTTCCGGGCCTATGGAAATGGAGAACACGCTGATTGGAGAAAGAGCCATCAGAATGCTGGAATCCTAGGAAGCCTAGGAAGGCCTGAAAACCAAACGAGCCATGAGGGCTTGACTATGTCTGGTAACCAGGTGGTAGCTGAAGGTTGTTGAAAACCAGTATGCCAAGGTGCGTATAGGTACAAGACTTGGACCTTTCAGGAAGAGCAGTTGCTATACTTCCTGGCCTTTATTACCAGCTGTGAGCTGTATGATCTGTATGTATGGGGTCCGATTCGATCTTAAGATCTGAATGGTGAACCTTGGCTTGTTTGGACTAACAACTCCACTGAATCTGCCCAAAGAATCCTCACGATATGTGACAGTGAGTGCGGATCAACATTTGGCAAAAAAAAACATGTTGGCAGAGGAGGAATTGCCAAAACCAGAACATAACAGCTGCTGTCCCATGTGTTGTTTGTAATTTGTTTGGGCCGTCGTGCTGAATCTTCCCAAAAAATCACCCACACCTCTAGCATCACTGGCGCAGCGCTGCGACGGAATCGGAGCTCTAACCTGGAGTGACGGAGTTCTCCCGCTCGTGGAGCGCGTGGGAGGCGTCCCACCGCGAGGACGAACCGCAAGCAGAACACAAACAAGTAAGTGTAGGCAAACTCAGAGCTATATAATATGCAGGCATACTGATGCATACTATACATGTTATTACATGTTGCTTAATTAAACTTAATTATGTACACTTACATGGGCCCAGTCAAGCTTGAAGAGTGAAATCCCACTCAAGGAACCCCGAGGAGTTTGCAAACGGGCTGAGCATCAAATTCGAAGCTAGTGGATTTGCATGAACTGTGCTATCCGAGCCAACAGCTAAAAGCCCCCGAGATAACATTGCACAATAGGCATGCATGGTCACAGGCGCTTGGGAAGTAAGATTATGGCACTGCCCACAAAGGCCGCGTCTGCGGTCGTTTGAGGCCCTCTGGTGCATCTATGCCTGGCCCTCCGCAGCATGCGCAAGGTGTTGACCTGAGCGTCGGCTGGTGTCGTCTCTCTGGGATGAGCACTAATTACACTGTATAATCCCCATAACATCACCTGTCGTAGACAGCCGGTGGGTTTCTTCTTCAGACCACTTGAACTTGAGCTTGGACAACATCCCTGAGCACCCTGGCGCTTGCACAGTCTCGCATCAGATTGATGTAGCCCTTCGCAGCTAGCTGTGACGGGCGGTGGCAAGTCTGAAACTATCTGAAACTCAGCCCGGAGGAGCATCTTGCTAGCCTCCATGTAGTTCTTGTACCATCTTGTACAGTACCCATTTGCATCATTTGCCTTTGCTGAAGCGTCAGGATTCCCCTGCCAAACACGCCAACTTCGATCACCCCTTGAAAAGCAAAGCCTGCTTTCCCCCCCCCAACAATGGAATCGCTTCAGTGACCTCAGCGGCAGCAAATGGCCATCCCCTCCCAGGTCCTCCCGTGTGATCGCCCCAGTGTGAGCCGCATCGAACTCCCAGAAGGTGTCACAGGCTGCCCACACAGCCTTGGCGGAGTGAGGAGGAATGTTTGCTCACCTCTTGCCCCAAACCTGTCCACTATGTGATTATCCGGCACCGTCACTGTCAGAAACAGCCACCATTCATACTATGACTATGAGGTTTTTCTCCACACCCAAGTACAACATCAAATAAGACCCTCGCTTGGCTATGCCTCTCCACACTTTAAAGTCTGCTTGAAAATCGTCATCCACCTCCAAAGGGGTGGAGGTCACACCGAGGCCCTGGAAGTTCCTGGCTTTTGGGAATCTTTCTTTTAAAGGAACTTCTTTCATGTTCTCAGAATTCTTAGAATCAGTGCTCCCTCCTCCCCTCCCTTCGTCCCATCCTTGTCAAGCTCAAGCTCATTCGAGCTCCCCATCTTCTCAACCTGCACCCACTCTCGCCTGGATGGTGGCGCACCCACATCGCTCCAAGGGTAAAGCCCGAAAGGCTCGGCGCACCTCGGCAACTCGCTCGCACCGTCGACCTGCAATATCTTGGGGCTTAAACGGCCCCTCGAGAATTTCAAAACGACTCCTCTCCCTCGGGCAGTTGGGTGGAAACCCAACTGGATCAGCCATGTTTCCATGATCGGCCGGAAGGCGATTTGTCTTGGAGTTTCGGTGCTAGCTTGCGTCCACCACCACCAGTTCTCCGAAATCGGAGAGCGGATAGCTCCGTGCCCCAACACCCACCGAAATGACGAACGACGCCCAACACCTCCGGCGAGCACTTGGCCTCGATGGCACCTGAGACCGGGCCCAGCATTCCACGGGGCCGATGGAACGAAGTGGAGTGTGTTTTTGTTGGGGGGGATGTTCCTGAACCAAGTGTGGCACAAGGTCAGCTTCAACTGCCTGAGAGAGGTCGGAATCCGAGCTGGGTCAAAACCACTTCAGGGCGATTGGAGCTTTCTGTCATCTTCAACGGAAAGCAAGCCTTGAGGCTTCTGGGTCCCTCCGGAAAACCCTCAACATCCACCGACACCTGGCAAATGGGGAGGTGGCAGTGAGGGGCAAAATTTGGGTGGTGGGCATAGCAATGCGGGGATGTAGGCTTTTCCCATCTTTTCCCATTCTTGCGGAAGCAAACGAATCAGAAACGACGGAACTGAATGAAAATGCTTACTGTAATGCGAGTCCCACCACACCCCCGCATCTCTCATGCTGAGCGCTTCGCTCTTTGACTGCTCCTAGGGACGCAGCCGGACGAGAGTTGCTATCATCCGCCATCCAGCACCACAACGCCCTCCACACAAATTTGTGGTGTATGAATGACCCTTGAGAATTGCACCTGCACTCCCCAAGACATCCCAAAACTCCGGTTGTGATGCAGCGCATCAAGTTACAACCAAAGTTTACGAACGTTTAGCTTTGTAGTAGAGTCGAGTCGAGCATCTTTCATCTTTCTGAGATCTATAGCTTCAAAGGGTCACCTTCGGGAGATCTTCTTGGTTGCCAACCTTTCCAGAGCCATGGGCCAATGAGCCATGGCCTGAGAAAAGAATTGAGACCAGGGACCCTAGGTTGTTGTAGATCTATTTTGACCGGGCTCCCGTGGCCATTGAGAATGGGAAGTGGCCGCACAAAAGTTGGGGCTGCGTGATGTTCAACATGCATGCGGCCCTTGAACCTTTGATGATGACAAGCGAGCCGGTGTCTGCCATCAATGTTCACAATGAACGATATGTTCATATTGTAAAGCCAAGTGTGCATAGCAAGGGGCGTTCCAACACCTCGCCACAATGGGACCTGTTCCTTTGTATCTGATGCGAAACGATCCGTCCGTGATGATCCATGGCTTCTCAGCGCCCAAGTCCCCAGCGCGGTACGTAGTGACCGACGTTCGGTGGCATCCTCTAGAGATCGAGGCGCAGAACCGATCAGGCGACTGATGCAGTACTCCCAGCAGGGCGCATAAATAATGAACTGAGCCCCAGCTGAGGTCACTCCCTCCCGCTTTTTAGGCATCCGGACGGAGCGGTTGCCTCAGATTGTTTGAAACGATCCAAGGCAATTAATTGGCTTATTTGCTCTCCGTGATCCAAAATGCCTATCAGTCCTGAAGCAATCTGGTTGGAGACTGGCAGGTAGGTGTATGCAAGAGTGAAAGCAACCGGATGGGCACTACCCAAACAGGCAAGGAGGCGGCATCTTTTCACCAGAATCGCAACCTCATTACTGTATCCTCATTTGGTCCCTCTGTCACCTCTTCCGTTAGAAATGCTGAATCTTGACAAGTTGCACTACCTCAGACGACCATAGCTCTCATCTGCCTGCTATAGAAGCTCTCTTCTTTTGAACGGCAGGGACGACGGGCCCGGGCCCACACCCTCCACATGTCGCTCCAGCCAGGAGGCTTCTTCTCGATGCCTGCTTCTTGAGCTTGGCTGAGATGGCTTGGTCTTGGCCGGAGGGCTGAGATGTCTGGCCCACGGATTCCGTCGGCCAACATGGTCAAAAGGTCACAAGTTTGTCGTGCTAAGGGAATACAATATCCAGATTGTATTGTTTTGCTGACACCCTAAGTCGGTGAGCTTTCACACAAAAAGTGCCGCTTCAAAAGCAATATGCTCATTGCACCACTCCCATGTTGAACTTTGGCGAACTGTCGCCTAGCAGGTCATGTCTACTTTCATTGATACTTTGAACCACCCGAAAAAAGTTAACCAGGCGAAGAACACTAAAGCCAGCAAAAAAACAAAACTGGACCGATCACAAGCTCGGTTTCGATTTTTCTCAAACCGCTGAAGCCGGCTCAGCCAGGAAAGACCCCGTCACCTCCACCCCCGCTCTCGACCGCAACAGGGGCTCTGGACGATCCAAATCCAGTAGCTTGGACATATCGCCTGCGTGGGCACATGTGGTGGAGCGCGGAGCGAACTAAAGGAGTAAAGGAGCAAAGCATTGGAGGAGCCAGCCGGTTTGAGAGGCTTCCGATATTTTGTGTATTTTTATATACGTATTATACTGGTGTGTATATATTATATGCATATACACGGACAGTCTAGATGTTTTTGGATTTTAGACAATTTGGGAATGGGGAGCTTCAGCCAGAAGACCCGGATGAACCCACAAAGCCCTAGATGTATCAGTGACCCCAACCTTTCTCCAAAAAACAGTGTTCACATCTTGCAACATAAAGCAAAGGTTTATCTGGACTTGGCTGAGGAGGAGGAGGAGAGAAAAAAAAAACGACGCCACACTGCAGCGGCGCAGAAAGAAAAACACGTCGATACTTCACTGACAAGGTGGATATGGTCAAATGAAAGGACTCAAAAGGACTCAAGTACAGTAAATTATTCTTGAGTGTGGGTGTTCATCCAGGTTGCCCTGCCGGCCACTTTCTGTCCAAACCATCATCTATCTACCTCCCTCTGTTTATATATATATATAGTGTAAAATTTTGTGCATAAATATGTATGTTTGAGTATCGTTTTATATATATATATACACCCTAGAAGTCCAAAGCCTATATTTTGACCGACTGAAGTAAAGGAAATTCCTTTTCGGGTCACTGTATATACATATATATATATGTGTGTGGTTTAAGAATCTCTCGAGTTATATACCATCTATGTTCCAACTGGGTGGAAGAGAACAGTTCTGAGCATGGCCGCTCCAGCTCGGCCTCCCAGGATCGCAGAGCGGCCCTGGCACAGCCGACCAGTGGACGCTGAGGGTTGATTTGAAGTGTTGGCAAGAAACATCAACACAAAAAAAAAGGGTCTCCAACAAAATGTGAACTTATGTAAATAGGAGCTTGCAGACATGTACATATCCTATTTCTAAGTGGATTGAAAATATTGAAGATGGAAGAATACAAGTGCTAGCCGCAGCTAGCCGGCAAATAATTCATGCTGCAAATGTTCCATGCTTCACTTGCTTGAGTATGATTCAGTAATGTGTTAAAATAGATAAATATCTATATATATATAGTAGATTCTTAGATCTGTGTATATATGCTTCCAAATGTGGGCAATGTACAGCAAAAGTCACGATACGATGCAACGAGCGATCGAACCCAAGCTGCCGCACAAGTTTCCTCTCACACTTGAGCCAAACGAAGTTTGTGTTTGACTTCTGTCTCTGATGTCTATACAGCAGTGCTTTCACTCAAGGTTACGTGTAACGGTATGGCATTGTTGCCACTGCTATTCCAGAATGCCATT